ACGTGGTTCATTGGTTACCTATGTATTTCTTGAAATTGGACTTGTAATTTGTTTTTTCATATAATATTTGACCTAACAAGACAATTGCGAAGCTGAAGTGCTTAAAATAGTGTTGACTGGGAACTATCTAAGCAGGTACGTTGATCGGATTGCCAATGCTAAATGGGAGGTGAAAGAGCTTGGAGTAGAGCACAATGGGTATGTACCAAACTCTTCTTCCTTTCAGAATCCTTGGAAGGTTACTGAAATCTAGCCTTATATGTTTTTTCGTCATAATTGGACTGTTTGGGGGAAGTTGAGGATGTAAGTGTGCAATAGTCACTGAGAAAAGAGCTAGGCAAGACAGCAACTTAAATAGTGTTATTAAAGTATTGGGTTTCATCGCTTAAAATAGAACGTGTGTTTGGGGGGGGAGTCTGGGAAGTTGAGGATGCAAGTGTTCAATAGTCACTGAGAAAAGAGCTAGGCAAGACAGCACCTTAAATTGTGTTATTAAGGTTGGGTTTCATCGCTTAAGATATAAAGTGTGTTCAACGTGCTGTGCATAGAAGATGTCTTTGGATGAACTGTTAACATTTTTGTGTCAGATATTTTAACATTTTTTCACTTTTCTATATTAAACAACTTGCCATGGAGCATATCAAAGACACCTAAAGACTTGCATGGTTTAAAATATATGAGGAAATCCATATTTTAATGTTTCATTATTATCAAAGACACATTAAATTATATGACCTTTTGTGTACTTTAATTTTTTCTTCTATGAAGAAATTGGTTTCATTGATGGCATCAAGAAGATGCAGAATAGTTACACAAGTAATGAAAGTTGCTAGCTCCAATACAAAAAGGCAAAAAATCAGCTTAATACTAGGGAGCTAACAAAGTTCGGATAACTATCAGGAGAATCTACAGGGGACAAATAAGCCCAACTAAATAAATACTCTAGGCAAATAGTTGATTTTGTGTACTTTAATTTAATCTTTTCTATAACTGGTTACCCCCCTCTCTCTCCGGAGTTGACTCGTGTTCTTGCACCTCTATTTCTGCTTATAATCTTATGAATGAAGCTTTTGAGATATATAATGTTGGATAAGATGACTGTAAAAGAATATGATTTTCCATTCCTTTGATGATCTGTGATAGCAATTATTATGGCTGATTTTAACAAAGTGGGAGCCCAAAAATAGGGATACAGAATGTTGTGAGATACTTTTCATTGTAGAAAAATGGGATCATAGAGACTTTAAAATAAAAAAAATAGTGTTCAATATTGTAACAAAAAGGTAAAAGTAACCGACAAGGAAAACAAGTTTTGTTGAGTTAAATCGGGGCATAGAGAGTGGTTAAAGCTGTAAAGAAAAGAATTAAAAAGACATCATATCAACCTCAACATAATTGGAAATGTTGTGATTTTGTATCTGTATCTTGTGGGGATAGTAAATTTTACCATACTAGATACTTTTGTTTGTGGCTGCCCTATGTAGAAACTGACGATACAAAATTGTATGGAAGTCTCTTCTCGCTTCCTAACTAGTTATAGTTTTTCTAAGGAATGGAACAATCGGTTTGACTTTTTGAGATATTTAATTCTAATAATTCTTAATTAGAAAAGTTAAAATTCTGTTTTTGAGAGAAGGGTGATGTTTAATTCATTAAACAGAAGTACGTGGATGGTGGTGAGTACAGAAATATTTATAGCAATCAGGATAGAATTTACAATTTTTCATTCATAGTCAAATAAGGCCGCCGTTAAGTAAGTGGGAGCCAATACAAAGCTAACAAGCTTTCTCAAACGGGAACATCATTCTAGACACAGTAAGAACAGTAAATCTAATTTGCATACAAGCATATCTTAACTTCTATGTTTGAATTTTGCACTTTCCAACTAGCTTGGGATTGAGATTTAGCTGTTCTTTTAAATTTGGCGCTTATTAAACTGAAAAAATAACCTACAATCAGGTATTCTGGTATTTGATTTCTTGGCACTTTATGATATTTGGCTGCAATATACTGATTTGGGCCGAGGGTCTAAACATCCACTCTGCCTTCTCAAGGTAGGGGTAAAGTCTGCGTACACACTACCCTCCCCATACCCCACTTGTGGGATTATATTGGGTTTGTTGTTGATGGCCACAGTATACTGATCTTCTGTTGCATTGGCTGTCAGATTTCTTGCTCTCACTCAACGCCAAAACAAAAAAAGATGTTTGACATTTCATATTGCTAAAATACCGTCAATATTCATCCATGTGTCCCCAATTTGATCCACTTCCGTTGCTGCAGATATGTAGATCTTTTGCTTGGAGAATTTAAGCATTATAAAACAAGGCTTGTTCACGGAGGAATTCAGAAGGAGGTAATGCCTACCAACTGTTGGAGTCAAAATTGGTGGTTAAGCTTTAAATAAACTAATATTGAAGAAGAAGCTCAAACAATTTTCATGAATATTATCTTATTCTTTCATCAGAATCTGGATATTCAACTTCCATTCTCCTTTTGTTGTTAGATCATTCATACTCATTTCTGAGATCATAAGTACACTAGGGAAATTATATGTTACCTTCTCAAAAAAAAATACACTAGGGAAATTAGAGTAAACATGTGGGAACCACAACAGATCATATGAAACTGAGGTCATGGAATAGTCATTTGCACAATAAAATATGATCCTCTTGCTCCTGCATCAAATTATTGTTTTCCAATCCTTTTTTGATGCTTCTGCTGGTTGAAGAGGCACAATTCCTGTGCTTCTAATACATGGAATAATTTCTTATTATCTTGTTGCTTTGTATGTCAGCTGTTTTGCTATTATGGAGCCTAGTCTTAGATGCAATGCGCTTGATGGGAAGGCTTTAGGGTAGTGATCTAGGTGTATATTATCCTGGCAGATTGCTTGCATTTGTCATATGTTACTTAGGAGGCGGTAGAGATTCTGAAGGCGAAGTTCAATTTTAGCCGTTTCAATCTCCTTGTCTAGAAAGGATCGATGATGCTGATATAACGATTGTTTTGTTCAACAACCTCTCAATGTCAAAACTTGATGTTCTTGTTTTACCGTGGCTAAAGGTTGTATAATTATGCGGAGAACCTACTCTCCTCTGTTTTGTGTGCCCCATCTGTGCATATATGAAATGAATAAATAATAATATTTAGAATATTTTGAGCTGCCGAAAGTTTCTTCTGGCGTATCTAATTCTGAATCTGTGGCGATCCTGCCTTAGTACAGTTTAAAGGTTATTTCTTCTAATTCCATTGAATTGATGGAGTTTGTGTTACCATGGTTGAAACGCCTGTTTTTGTAGTTCATCTCTGATTAGATGTCCTAGTCCTACCTTGATCACCTAAACTAAGATAATGATATAAGGTTCCTGTTATGTTCCACTCTGGCGGGTAAATGTATTTATCAACACATTGCTTGACATCACTTTTGTCCTCTATGCTAGAATGATAGATGAAAATCTCTGGAGAAAGAGGAGAAATGTGTAATTTGCTTCTTATTGTTTCCTCCTATATATCTAGGTTCAAGACCTCCTCTTAGAATATGGAGTTGATAATGTTGCTGAAATTCTCGTTGAAGGCCTATCTCGCGTGAAGAGGTGTACTGATGAAGGACGAGCTCTTATGTCATTAGATCTTCAGGTTTCAGCTTACCATTAAGGATCCTCTTTTCCTCCAGTCCCTCCACAGTTTTGACTTGCGCTAAATTTCAAATGAAATACAATTTAACCTCAAAATATCTTCAGGTATTGATAAACGGCTTGAAACATTTCATCTCTGTAGATGTGAGGCCTAAATTACAGATAGTTGAAACATTCATCAAGGTGCGTATAAGGGGGGCTTGTAACAATGCCTTCTCTCAATCAAACAGTGATCTCATTGTTCCATCCCTTACTTTGGTTTCCTACCTCCATCGATATTAACCATCATTACTCTTCCATGTAAATTCATTGAACAGGCCTACTACCTTCCAGAAACCGAGTTTGTGCACTGGGCACGTGCTCATCCGGTACAGAAAGCTAAATGCAAAATCTAGTTAGTGTTGTTATTCGACAATATACTTAAGTTTTGTATCTTTCAAATGTTGCAGGAATACAGTAAAGGTCAGATTGTTGGTCTAATCAACCTAGTCTCTACAATGAAAGGCTGGAAAAGGAAAACCAGGTTGGAAGTGTTGGAAAAGATTGAGTAACTTTATACCCTGTAGGTGAGCATCGCGCCTGTTCAGTTTTGCATTATAATTTCTTTTTTCTCTGTTTTGTGTAATTGATGTAAATCGGGTTGTCGTGTTACGTCTAGATTGTTGTTGCGCAATTATTTGAAGGTTGTAAAGTTATTCTCATTTCTACTGTAACATTGACCTTTCCAGGGACATATTGTAAGATTGAATCCGAAAAATAAGTGCATATATATTAGCAGAGTTGAGTCGACAGCGAATGTATTACGCTGTCGCCAAATACAAGTGTTCCTTTTCCTCACTGCAGTTAGTACTTAAAAAGTGATCCTTAGATTGAAGAAAGATGGATCTTGAACTTGATTCAACTCTAGAAGTTAGCTCATTGGGTGAGAATTTTCCTAAGAATATATAAGGAAATGCGAACTCATTATTAAGCTAATGTACTTTTCTTACACATCCTGAATTAGATATTTAGAGCGTGAATAATATAATATTGGAATCCAACATAGAAAAACGTTAAAAGAAGAGGATGAGCTTGGCTTTCGTACTATACGACAAATGTGGGACGCTGTTTTGAAAAAAAACATAAAGATGAAAATAGACAATTTAGAACAAAGAATGAAGCAAGATCAACTCACAAATTAGGATCAAAACCGAGGTAGATTAATTGTATTCCTAAGGCCAACGACGTTTGTTTTCTTTCCTGTTTTTTCCAAAAATTTCTTTTGGAAAAACCGCACTCTTACTCCAAAAATACCCTGAAACCATTTAGATTACTAAGATGAGCAAAAAAAAAAAAAAAAATCGATTTGGTGAACCAACAGAGAAAGAAACGAAAGACCACTTGAAAATTAATTAGATGGAACTGTACAAATAATAATACTTTCTTGAAAGAAAAAAAAAATCAATTTCTTAACACAAATTCAAGCTCATTCTCCTTTCTTTCTTTTTTTTTGGTTACATCTCCCACCTATAAATCTTCTTCGGGTACACGTTATTGTTCATTTTTAATTGTTGGAATTGTTTGCTTTCGTACAATTCTGACACCATTTTCTCTCCTGATTTTTGTATATTACTATTCATTTTGAAACTGCTGGTGATTGCGTGATGCTGGCAACCATATCTAATGCCACACAAGGTTGATCAACTGGAACCTGCTTCCACAAAAAATAAAAAAAATAAAAATTATTTGTACGTATTTCTGTTATGGTATGAACGTAATACAATTAAGTGCCTGCAATTTGAGAATATATAAATCTACTCCATGCTGCTGGTATATTAAAATCATAAATTTTGTCGAAGGACAACTTTTTTTAAGAACAAAATGAGTGCAAGAAACAATTAATGAAGTGAGGTAAAAATTACTATAAAATTAGGATTCAAATTCCAACAGATATAAAAACATTTCAACTTGGTGAGTAGAGCTACTCGAGAAAAGGTCACTGGGACCAACAAAACTAGCTGGCTTTCTATTCTATGTAACTTCCTTAAAAATAGAGCAAAACTAGAGTAGGTTGATCTCGTGTTAAGCATCCTTCACTTTCAATTAAGAGCTGTGAGTTCGAGTCATCCCAAGAGCAAGATCGAGAGTTCTTGGAGAGAGGGGCCGAGGGTCTATCGGAAACAGTCTCTCTACCCCAGGGTAGGGGTAAGGTGTGCGTACACACTACCCTCCCCAGACCCTACTAGTGGGATTATACTGGGTTGTTGTTGTTGTAAATTCCTTAAAAAGAAAAAACTGTTACAATATTCGTCTCTCTCCAATTTATTTCCTATTTTTAGTGTTAAGTAAAACTAAGGGATGGAAAAATTGCATCTTCCCTTTCCTTTTCTTCTCTTCGTTAATTTCTAAGTAATGATAATTCTCCAATATCAGATGTTTGACCAATCCAGATTATGGTGCTCAAGCAAGATTCAAGAAGAGAGACAGATGTATTAATGAAAGAAGAAGTTTTCATTTAAAAAACTATACTCTCTTTGTTTCAGTAAAGTAAACTATATTTCAATTGCGCGATTATTAAAAGTAAAATGTTTGAATATATCATCATATACATTTTACTTAAAATAATGGTTTGAAATATGAAAAAATAGACATAGTTATTAGTAAGATGTCAAGAGATAAGAATTATGAAGAGTCCAATTTCTCTTCAAGAAAAGTTAAGGTCAAGATTTTCTGGGAAGTGTGAGAATCCTATTTCCTCTCAAGAAGATTATGTTATTTTGTGATTTTAAAGTTAAATGCGTGCATAACATATCAAAAATGCCAGCTAAATCTTATGATTTTGAACATAACATATCAGAGTAAGATGAAAATATTGAAATAAAATATTTATTAAATATAAAAAGATGAAATTCTTTTTCAAACGAACTAAAAGAAGAAGTCTATATATATTTTTTTTTTGGAAGAAAATAAAATTAAATAGGATGTGTACCATATTGTCCGAAAAAATGACTTACTAGCAGTTTACCAACCCCCAAGTTTTCTAGGTATTTGATTGACAGTTTGACACTATGAAAGTAAGAGGGAACTTGTGATTCTACAAGTCAATGGTCACAAGATTGATAGTAGGATGACAAGGACATTTCGAAAGATATTTACCATGGAACTATTAAGCCTGTCGGGGCTAATTTGGTACGAGAGATAAGGAATAATTAATTTCGGAATTAAATTTAAGAAAAAGTTATCTCATGTTTGATTGGTAGAAAATTATGGTATAATTAATCATGAGATTAGTTATCCTAGGATTGTAGTTTTTTTTTTATCCCCATGAAAAAGTGAAATAATTAATCTCGAGATAACTTCTTTCCAACCAAACGACCCCTTACAGTAGTCATCCGTGTGTTCCGTCTTAATTTATGTATCATACTTTTTTTTGTCTGTCCTAAAAGCATCATACTTTTTTATTTAGAAATAATTTAACTTGCTATTTTACTCTGAGATAATTTAAAAGCATATAAATATCTATACCTTATTTTAGATTACAATTTTATTTTATTTTAAACTTTGTACTGAGCCAAATAAATTAGGGTGGAGGGAGTTTTCAAGTGTACTACACATGCATTTATAATATAATAAGAATTGGGTGAGACGATATAATAAGTGGAAATAAACATGTGATCAAGAGGGCAAATTTTACTTACAAAATGGCCAGCTCCAAGAATCCAGTAAAAGCGCAGGTTCTTGTAAGACTTTGTGAAAGCCTTTGTACTTTTGTCACCCTTACAATAAATTGGACTTCTTTCCATTTTCAAGAAAGTTTTCAGCCCTTCCCACCTGCCATTTTGGATTATCATTAATATGAAAATGACCATTCAAATAGATGGAAGTGGGAATAATTCACACAAATAGACACAAAAAGGGTCTTCTATAGGGTGTCATGTTGTCATACTTAGTGCACTTAGATAAGATTGTTGAAATATTATTCTAAAGTTAATTTTTTCACGAAATAATTAAAAAATTATTTCTTACTTTAGCTTCTCAACCCATGCTTCTGTTCCCTTGGTTGCGCAAATGAGATCAAGCTGCATGTAAAAAAACAAAAAAACGGAAAATACATAAGTAATTATAATCGATTAAAAAACTATAATTGAAATTATGAAGTATCTAATTTCTTCCTAACAAAATAAAATAAATGGGATCAATATAATGATATACGAAGAAAGGATGTATAGACTTTAGGAAGGGCCCTACTTGCCCATTATATACTGTCACATTCACTCCTTTGGCCAATAATTCATCAACCTGCACATTACATAAAAAGTGTTCAAATTTCCAAAGAAAATACACAAAAATTCAAATTGAAATGCTTAAATTCCTAAATTTTCTTTTATAATTTTTGATTCCCCCTCAAGAACCTTTCCTCACGAGCGAAGTATTGAAAATTGTATTTACTCTTTTTATTTTTAACGTGACAATATTAGGTTTTCGTATCAAATTATTGAGTTAATAGTACTTAAATCAAATAACCTCATCAATTCTTGGCTTCATAAAATCACCATACATGGCATTAAAAACAGAATCAGACTGTCCTCCCCATCTGCAAATAAACACAGTACTTAGTTGTATTTTCTTTTTTTAAAAAGAATAAAGATGGGAAATAAATATGGTATAATTTAAAAAAATTAAGAAATAAAAGCTTACTGAACATTTTGTGGAATAATTTTCAATTTCTTTTTGACAGCACCATTCATTAAGCTGTCGAGATCAACATCACTACCAGGAGTAAATTTCGAAGATTGCAAATATCTTGAATATCTCTTCATTGAAATTCCTTGTGATAATTCAGAAGCTGTTAAAGATAAAGGGTCCATTCCTGAATCCAACATGAAATTGTAGAAATCCTGCAATTATTTAATAATACGCGTTTAAGTTATATGCACAAACGTTGTAAAATTTATTTACACAATCAGGTAAAAAATCTTTATACCACGGAATTACTATTATCGCTTATGATGTTTTCCAGATCTCTCCATGAATTTGTTGCAGCTTCATATTGGCCAGCACTAATTTGCTGCTTTATTTTTAGTGCTACACTGTATTTGGAATTAGGAATTTTTAGAAAATTGGAACTGAAAATTCAAGGCAAAAACCAAAAGGAAATAATTGAGTTTTTGCATAGTATAGTAGTTAAAAAATATTGACCTGTTTGATTTTTGTAGGCCATTCCCATCAATTCTTGACACATCTTTCAGAAGAGGACCCCATGAAAACTGCATTTTCCAAAAAAAAAAATAAAAAAAATAAAGAGATATTCAAGGTTTAAACTTCACTCCAAAGGAATGTAATAAAGTTGAAAATGTAGCAATAAATTCAAGTTTCATACCACAAAATCTTCAGGTGAGATCCAACTATCACCCAATGCCACTCCTATTATTTTACAAAAGCAACAATATTCAATAGACAACCATATTATGATATATAAAATTCAAAATAAATATGGTTTTAATATTTTCTAGTAAATTCAAGATGACCCTTTTAGATTATTGTATTCTCCAAAAGATAAAATGACTTGAGTTATATGCACTAACAATATAAAGATTAACTTATAATAACACGTAAATTACCATTTTAATCAGCTTATCGATTAATGTTTAGTATAAAGATTTACCTATAATTATCTTATAACTGACTTAGTTGCATAAATAATTTACACTAAAAATACATAAAACTTAAACTCGAATAAAAAGTAAAGTAATATACCTCCAAGTTTGAGCTTCAATTTGCCAGATTCTATGGCTTTAAGGGCAGAAAGTGCAAGAGTAACAGCATATTTTCCTCCATAGGACTCTGCTACTATATATAAAGGGCTCTGTTGTAGGCTCTGATTTCTATTAAAAATTTCAATTAATAGTGTTGTCAAATCTGTTGCTGCCTCCACATCTGTCTTCACAAATAGCTTATTGTCTTCCACAAAACTATATCCTGTTCCAACTGGATTATCCTACAATTACCCCCAAAAAAAAGAATAATTATATACTCCTATATACTTTTTGTTTTTATTTTTCTTATATGTATATATTGTTCGAGCCAATAGCAATTATTAATTCAGTTAAACTCGCAATACTCATGTGACCTGGAGGTCACGGGTTCGAGCCGTGTAAATAGTCTCTTGCAAAAATGTAGGGTAAGACTGCGTACAATAGACCCTTGTGGTCCGGCCTTTTCGCGGACCTCGCGCATAGCGGGAGCTTAGTGTACCGGACCAAACTTTTTAAACTCGCAATACCCATATTAGATCTTGTCTTGAAAAAAGAGCCGATTACGGGTTCACATGTACCTAGTAGCTTTTGCTCTATTCTATATATGTAAATAAATCTATTAAATATCTATAAACTTTTTACGATAAACCCATTTATTATTGTAGTATTAATTTAAGATCGTTGTAGAAATTCATCAACTTCAAATCATGGATCCGTCTATAGCAACAGGTACAGCAGCAACAAACTCAGTAAGTAGGGTGTGGGGAGCGTAGTTTGTACGCAGACTTTACCCCTAACTTGGAAAAGATAGAAATGTTATTTCCGATAGACCATCGGCTTAAAAAAAAAATAAAAGAAAGAAGTAACAAGTAATAACCTCAATAGAGAATAGACCAATCAAAAAACCCGAGTGAACGAAACAAATCAGGATCCGTATCTGCTTGAAAATTCGACAATCAATAAATGAAAAATGTAAAAAAGGTAGGAGTTTCAGTTGAGCTTACTACAAAGAGAAGATCAGCTTTTCTCAACCAAGTTGAATTCCTAGGTTTCAGATTAGTGTCAAGTGGCCCAACTTCTTGAAAGTTACCAATTCCAACTCCTGATGCTCCCTATACACATTAAATTCCCAAGAATACTCACAGCTTAAACCAATGAAGCTAATTAATCAATCTGCTAAAAATGTAAGGCATTAATTGCAAATACTTTAATGAAAAAAAGTACAATAATTAAACATTCTATAATGCAGCACTTACTGGTCCACCCTGTAACCATAGTATTATTGGCCATGGCTTATTTGGATCTTCAACTCTGTATGGACTTCTGTAATACCACCAGAACATGTGGGCTTCTGTTTTTTTTTTTGAGTGTCAATAATATTCATAATTCTCACAAGAAAAAAATCAAGATCATAAACATTATATTACTCGAGCTCTCCAAAAATGATGCCGCCTTCCGTGTCAGATTCAGCGGAAAAGCCAGGAATTTAATAAGTGTATTCAAACTTAAAATAAATGAAAAAAGTATCCAACAAAGAGTGTTTAATATATTTATATATATCTCTAAAACATAATATTTTACTTATATAAGTCGCGTAATTTTTCGACGAATGGTGGTGAATTGACCACACTTTATATGTAGCTTCGCCCTTTGGTCGGATCCTCGAAAAATGCATTACTTACTTTCGAAAGATCCGAAATGCAAGTTATAGTATTTTTAAAAAGTTTGAGCAACATAACATAAAAGCAAATTAAACCAAAAAAATTATAACTTACTAGGTCTAACTTCAACATAACCCCATGATTCTGAAGCATCTTGATTTCTGGCAGCAATGGCTGTTCCAATTCCTCCATTAAAAAGTGGAACCAAAAACAGGAGAGGAACAATAAGAGATACAACAACAATGGACTTTTTCATTTCCATTTTCCTAAGAAATGGAATTCAGAAATAATAAACAGAAAAAAAGACGCTGAGTGCCAGAGAATATAATTGAGAATTTGATGACTGATAAAAAGCCTTTATATGCAAACTCAGTTTCTCTGTGTCTATAACTGAAATAACAAAAAAAGTGGCAGTAGTAAAGGGAAAAAGAGGACTAAAAATTTGACTTTACAGAAAAGAGTTCAGTTGTATAACAATCCAATAATGTAGTACTATAGTAGTATTTATTTCATATATCTGTGACCTGTCCTTTTACTGTACATGAAGTAATAATAATATTCTCAGGCTTTCATTAATTGGTATTGGAATTTGATGTACAAAGCAACTGGCCATACGGTTCATAGGTCAATTTTATCCTATCTTTGTACGTCAATGTTTTTATGGAGTGACGTGCAAGTTGATAGTCCTCTTTTTATTTACATTTGTTTTTTAAAGACAACTGTCAAAGGAAAATTCTTATCAATATGGCCAACTTTTTGGAATATTGCACATGATAGAATTGTGTAAACACATCGTCTAAAAATTTAAACTATTAAAAAAATTACACTTCTAATTATTTTATATCATCAATTAGCGTCTAATTTTTTTCTTGGGCTAAACATGCTAAATACATTTTTTGAAGATTACTGTGAAACTTAATCTTTACGTGTTTGAGCCGTGAAAATGTAGGATAAGTATGCGTACAATAGACTCTTACGGTTCAGCTCTTACCCAAATTCCGCTCATAACGGGAGCTTAATACACCGGACGATCGTTTTTTTAATGTAAAACTAACTTAGCACCTCTGCCTATTTTAATACTCGGATAATTTTCAGAAATTGCAATTCAAAATTATACTTTATTGCTTTCTATTCTAATCAGAGTTAGAATAGGAATGTATATATACAAAAAATCAGACAAGAGATAAAATAGGGAATAAAAGATAATAAATCAACAAGTATTCCTTATTTGGTTCTAAGTGGTGATTGAGGAGTTAAAAATAAATAAAACTTGATTGAGAAAATCTGGAATATGACAGCTAGGCCTGGCAAGTGGGCCGGTCCAGGCCCGGGACCGGCACAGGACCGCGGGCCAAACGGCTAAACGGGCCAGGACNTATAGTATACCAGATATACTAGATATATATAGTAGATATACATATATATATATATAGTATATTTTAAGATGTATATATAGTATATAAATCGAATATACCTTATATATCTTTATTACTATTTTTTTCTCTAACTTCTATAAAAAAAAAATTAAAAAGAGAAAGTTTCTGTTGGGCCCGTTTAGGCCCGTTTGGGCCCGGGACCGGCCCACTAAACTGGGCCCGTTAGTTCGTGGTCCCGGTCCC